CCTACCACCCAAAAAAAAAAACAGATACAAGAAAAAACACGAAAACAAAAATATCCATGCACTTTTGTCACTCTAATTTGAACAAAAAACATTAAAGATATGAAATCAGGAATAAGCTAGTTGACGTTTGTGCCTCTTTTTTTTCTGTATTATTCATCAAATAGATATTTCGTTTACCCTGAAATCTTGAGCACCTTCTTATTGTGTATTGCAGTAGAGAAACCATAATCTTCCCCCTTTCCCTAAGTCATATCCAACTCATTGATTATCCACCTTATAAATCTTTGATTTTCAAGTCCAAATGCGACTAGTACGTGTAACTTGCTTTGATTAATAGCATCATGTGCAAATTTCTTTTTGCTTTTTACAAACATTCGAAGTTTTTCTTAGATATTCTGCTATCTCCACTATTGTGCCAGTTTCCACTGGACATATTGTTCTACCTTAAAAGTAAAATCTTAATTTTACCACAGTTTAGCCTTAACACCGGGGAAAGTATTCCATTGTATCTTAGTTTATTTTCCTCCTTTGACAAGGAAATCGTAATTATTTCTTGCCCTCTACATTATATTTATCCAACTTTTTTACTCTCTTGTCTCATTGGCTATCCTCCTTATAAATCTCAGTGCTCAAGTTGACTGCTACTATTGCATGTGTAATTTAATTTGATGCCATCATGCGAGAGTACCCTTTTCCTATTACGAACATTTAAATTTAGTGGGAAACTCTACTATCTCTTGTTATTGTGCCAGTTTCCACTGGACATGTTGCTCTTCCATACCAAGTAACCTAGGAAGAAAACTTAATTTTCCCAGTTTGTATTGCCTCAACACTGGGAGCAGTGTTTCACTGTATTTTGGATTCACTTCCCGTTGACAAGCAAATTTATGCTTAGTATTTTTTCCTTTATCGGATCACAACCTGTATTAGTTTAAAATTCAATATTTTCTACTCTGGTGTCTTGAGGGTCCCTGTACTTATCTTGTTTTTCAATGCCAATTTCAGGTGGGAAGTTTTGATGCCGGCTATGGATCCTCCATTATGTCTCGCTTGGTAAGTCAAACTTGTGAATCAAGTAGAATTCACTTTATTTATTTAAAAAAAATATTTTCTCCTCTCTTGCAACTATAAGTCAGTGTAATGCGGTATTATTCCACTGTCTGGCATACTAGATATCTTAAGATACTGCACTATGGAAAGATTATTTTGTTTTAAAGAAAAACGTCCATCAAATAATTCTTTGGTGAGGACCTACATAATTATTTGTCTTGTGACCCTTCTCTGATACTGATTTCCTTTTGCTTCTCTTACTGCATGTTTATGGAAGCCAGATAGGACCCAAGAAAGCACGTGAAATGTGGTTCTTATCACGTTTTTATGATGCTTATGAGGCAGAGAAAATGGGACTTGTGAACATTGTAGTGCCGGTAAGCTACTCTGCTTCCATATCAAAGGGAGAAATGTAACCTTTGGACTTCATCCACTCATATATTTTTTAAACATTTGCTCTATTGTACTAGTCTACTTATGATTTTATCAGAAACAAAAAATCAACTTTCTTGGGTAAATGAATAAATTCGTTTATGTAACCAATGAACAAACACTTTTAGATATCTCTGGCTTTAATTGACACTTCATTGTATCCTTTGCACACTTTCTATCACTGTCAGAAGTTCAAACAGAAGTTCAAATCCTTTTAGAAGTTTATTCTTGCTTTCATTAATTTCAAAAACTATGGTAAAAATGCTCAAAGCCATGTAGACATTGTCTTACATCTAACAGCAAACAGAATGATAGAATTTATTTTCAGCATTTCAGGGAAGATATTATAGTTTTGAAGCCAATTAAGCAACATCGAGTAGTACTTGGTATGGAAAAGTATGTTGGAGGATAACGGTGAATAGTTTTGGGGGTCATCTTAGCCATGTTAGAAGTTAGAATTCTACATGAAGAGTACATCTATGTCTTCTTTCGTTCTTTCTTTCTTTTTTCCCCTATTAGATTATCCAGATAATTGATGCCACAACAGTTAATATTTTTCATCTTCTTTGCAGCTTGAGAAATTAGAACAGGAAACTGTGAAATGGTCCAGAGAGATCTTAAGGAACAGCCCAACAGCGATTCGGGTACTGAAATCTGCTCTTAATGCAGTAGACGATGGCCATGCTGGGCTCCAGGTACAGTACATGGTCTTCTTCGAAGCTATGAACACTTAAAACCGTTGCTATGTTTTTGGCATGGGTATTAATTGTTTGGATACAGTCCAAAAGCTACACCAAAAAAATGAATTTATTATTTCTTTTCTGCTGTTTATCTTCTAGGCGTCCAAGACGCATTAGAAATGAACTCAAAGAAGGTACAAGAAGTGCATCAATTGTTCAAAGGAAGTTGGAGTATTGCAAATAAATAATAAAAGATCGAGAGTATGTAAATATTTGATGATATACACAGACTATCATATAGCTTGTATAGACATTAAAACCTTACGCCATGATTACAATCTTTAAAGAAAACATGCTCTGCAGTTTCTGTAATTTACTAGTTTTATGCACAATGACTCCACTTCTCAACTTTAACATAATAATGTTGGTAAGTATCAATTTCTGTAAATGTTTAAAAAAAACTATGCATAAAATTTACTGTAACTACAAAAAGTAGTATTCTTCCTGTTAGTAGTTGTTTAATAATTTAATTTAACTGTGTAGGACCTGGGTGGCAATGCCACTCTCATATTTTATGGCACTGAAGAGGCTAAAGAAGGGAAGGAAGCATATGTGGAACGCAGACGTCCTGACTTTTCAAAATTTCCAAGGAGACCTTGACAAAATAATTCTTACATCACTCAAATGTTGTACCCTTATGTTATTATACATGTGATTTAGTACAATTGCATATATCCAATTAAGCATGCCCCTTACCTCTGTAAACAAGCTTAAATATGAGAATACATCCTGTGTCAGAGTATATTGTAATTCACCATGTTCTATTAAATTCAAAAGGCTGTGAAAAATCATCAGACAGCCCAATTTACAAGAGCTAAAATTTTATCTGAAGGGTTAATTGCAGATAGACCCTTATAGTATCTGATGAGGACAAGCTTCCATATTTATTATTTGACTTTTGTTTTTTTATTTATTTCAGTTTTTAGTAGTCAATTTCGAATTTTGGATTTTAGTAGTAGATTTGAATTTCGAATTTTGAGTGAGATTTGATAGTTATTGATTGTTAGATATTTGATTGTGAGTGATTTAGGGAATCTTGTATTTCTCTACTCTATTTAAGCACAATTGTAATCAGAATTATTATTATTATTGAATGAAATGAAGAAAATCGTTGCTAATTGCTTGGTGTGAAACCATGGGTGTGAAACCCTAGCTACAATTCTCCCGTTCTTATTCTCCTCATACACAGCCGCCAACCCTATTCCCTTGTCTTCGTCCGATCACCCCCACCCGCACCTGCTCCCTCTCCTCTTCAAAACACCACCACGCTAGCGACCTTAACACCCAACCCCACCGCCTTCTGCTCTTCCTCCAAAGTAGCCGCGCCAATCACCCAGTCTCCCTCTCCTCCTCTATCAGCAGTCACGAACAGCCCTAATCCCCCTCCTCCTTCCTTGCAGCAGCCGCCCTGATCTTATCATTCATAAGCAGCAGCGCCCCGACCACCTTTATCTTCTCCACCAGCTACCGAGCCCTCCCCTCTTTCCTTGATCAGCCCCCGCACCAGTCCTATTCCACATAAGTGCCGCCAATCCACTGCTCCTATTCCGCAAACCATTTAACCCACTGCCTCCATGCTACCTCAAATCTAAACAGCCACTTGATAGCTCAATCGACGCTGTCGACGTCCATCCCGTTCCCCTAGTCATCGTCACTTCACACGCCGTGGTCGTCGCCTAGTTCACTGTCGTCGTCTTCCACCTCAACGTTGTTGCTCGCGTTGCTATCTAGTC